GTTGACGTTTCAGGCATGATTGGATCTACAGCTGTGAGGAGCCATCCTGTGTAGCTCGCAAGCCATCACACCACGTCAAGGTGCAGTCTCGTCGTGATGGAACAGTCAGTGTGCATTTCTTTTAATCAGAATTCAATACGCAAATATAAAGAATATATCACACATACGAGAACGGCGAATTCACGCACCAATCAGATTGCGTCCTTGACATCTCGACTGATTGTTCAGGCCAACACTGGTTGGTGTGTTCTGCAGTCACTCAGTCTGTCTGGAGCGCCGGTCTGAGTTGAAGACATGCGCGATCCGGGTTGTTTAGGCTCCTATCTAACAACTGCTTCAACCAGCAATGCGTGTGAGTGTCTCCTAAGTTGGTTTGGGATTAAGGTTTTTAGCCAACTCCTCTAGGTGAAGTGCTCCGGATGTTGGCTTTTTCGAACTCATTTTCGTGAGAAAACTCTGCCGCGAGAAGGCAGTGAGTAGGGATTACTCAGAAGAGGCTATTTGAGACGCTTCAGTGCATGGGAGCATTTCGCGAGGCGCAAAGGAGAAGTGACCAACCGCAACCAAACAAATCCTCCTCCGATCATAATGAGACTTTCGGAGGCCACATCATGGAGTTTCCTGGAGAAAATCGATTGGTATATCTAAATGAAGTTCAGAAGGTTTAAATACAGCACTTGTTTCAACTCTAAATCTCGCCTTCCTGATGCATACCCATATCTCTCGCGAGTGTTTTCAATTCGTTCCCAACGAGAACTTCATAACAACTATTTGAGATCTGTTCATTTTTATTGCAGCAACGCACGTAAGTAAAACCATGTTCTTGTACTGACACATACCAGTGATTTGGGAGCACTAGGTCTAATGCTACGATGAGTATCCCAGGGGCGAAAAAGGCACTTATTAGTGATGCTTTGCTACTCTTCACTTAAGTTGGCTTCCGTGTATACCACGACCTTTGTATGGCGGTTATCAGAACTAATATGGTATTTCATGCCAAGGCGAAGTCCACAATTACTATTTCAAAAAGAGAATCTGGTGGAGCCGCTCCGGTATGGGTGGCTTCGATAGCATTTTGTGAGCGACAGGTATATACTGCAAGAAGTTACGTCAGGTTATTTTACACTTTCAGCAGCAGCAAAAGAAATACAACGCAGCAATGCAATTGACCGATATGTATACGTATATACATATATATATGGAGCGAGAAAGAGGGAGAGAGATTATATGAAAAGGGGAATCAATAGTGGAATCTGTCAAATCACTTGTGTATAGTTCATCCCCGTAGACGTTCTCACTTGTCCTGTGAGGTTTCGTCTAAACGGCAGTCGATCTTGGTGGGGATTCACTGGCGGAACATTGCGGTCGGACACGTGAACGACTTTGTCTCCCTCGACGTAGAACATTAGTGATACGCTCCAAAACAGTAGGCTGCGCCTGTGCATCGATGCGCCGTTGTAAACGTTCTAGATAGGCGGACGAGGTTTGCTGATCGCGAAACCTACGCCAGTACACATCAGGATGAGCTTTACGGAACTGTAACAAAAGGACAAACAAATAAGAAAGCGCCATTAGTGGAAACCACCCAGTTCATCATAAAACATCTTATTGATTAGGAAGTTAATCTGGGATACCAACAGAAGCGCTACGCGTCGATGTACGCAAACCGTTCAATTTCTTTTCAACGGAACGGTCTCGTGACAAAAGGATGGAGTAGCACTGCGATCAACGACATGACCTCTTGCCGGTTTTCTCATGGCGATGCAAGCGAATAACCAATTNATTGTTTTCAGTTTTCATAAAAATTGTCGGTTTGTAGACGACATTTTGTATAGCTGATTCAAACTGCGAACTGGATCATCTGCACACAAGGCCATTTACAAGGGAGATGGATGCAGATAATCGAATACCACTTCTATATGTACTCCTCATTAGAAGACGTGATGGATCTATACAACGTCGTGTGTACCGTAAGAAAACATGGAGTGGTTAATACACGATTTTTTACAGTTATGTCCCGATTGAGCTGAAGACGAATCTACTCACAGGAAGTAATGAAAGATGAACTCAAGTTTATCTCCAACGTGCTGAGAAGCAATGGCTACTCCGACCGATTCATTCAACGAAATTTGGTGGAAAACATAACAAAAGTACACACTGATAGGGTGGAAAAGGAGCACCTGTTCATAAGTCTTTCTTCATAAGACGAACGATTTATTGCTTAAGCTGAAATTCATTTTGTTTGCATTGTGAGCTGTTGTACTACTCGGTCGCCCAGTCCAGAGTAGGCCTTGTTTGAGGATGCACTCTAGCCTTTATGCCACCAAGCGCCAGCTACAAGGTAGCAGTATTGTTCCAGGTAAGTCGGTGACCGGTCGGTTCGTTCATTCGCTTTCTCTGGAAGACCTTGTCGGGTAGATGGAACACAAGGGGGCAATAATCGTATTCAGTGGCGGGCCACACTAGCCAACTCACAGCGCTATTATAAGAAACATGTGTTGTTTTGTGTGGAGAACGCTTGCCAAGTGGTAAACCCACGACATTCTTGAGCTCCGCCGCTGATCGTCCGCGACCGCTTACTCAGTGAGAATAAACTCACCTTATTCACAGTTAACCACCAGTTAGCGGCCGCTCCCCTATCGGCGACCTGGGGACGCGCTCGGTAGCATACATCTCTGCCCTTGCCATGCTTGCTCTCAAGCATATATATATGAGACGGAGGAATGGAGCGGTAAAAGCTACATTCAAGGCTGCGCACCTACGCTGCTCTTTAAAAAATTCGCCATTGATAACCATACGGAATAAAAATAACTTACCGATGTTCACCGCTTCAATGATTGTTTACTCGTTCAGATGCGTTTATGACGCACTGTGCGCCGGTCGTACGGCACGGCAGTTACTTATCCTATGAAAGAACACCATCCGCGCTAGCTGAGTCAAGGTGGTTTCGGATTTATCACAAGTGCGATTCCCGCTCACTTGGTAGACACTGGTTATCGTGTTAACCCAAGTGAAGCGTTCCGCATTATTTATCAGGTCCCCGAACCGGTTCAAAGATGTTAGGATGCGTACGTTGGCCATAGCCGAGGTCATCTGTATTGGGCATTTGACCCTCTGAACTACGTGCCCAGAAGCGTCTCATCCAAACCATTCATCTCCCTGGGTTCGTGAACCCATCGAACATATACACATTTTCATACAACACTGATCCCTTAGAACTGGGTCACACAACCATCGTTCACATTTTAAACGAGCATTTAGAAGAACAATTTATCGAATGCACTTGAACTAAATGTGAAATGAAAACTCACTCAGAAATACTTACGTCGTAAAGCCGCTTCATTTTGCGTCTAGGATCCATTTGACGATCGTTGATAATTTGATTTAATAATTTAATCAAATGGGCGGTATTACCGAGTGATGCTAAACGTTGTGGATCGAGACTAGTCTGAAATGAGAGAGTGGACCAATTCAGCGGAGAAATGATATGGTGTTCATTGTTATCAACTGAAAAGCAGAACAATGTAGTGGTGGAACTCATAATCGAACAGACTAGTGAACCATGATTATGGAGTGGCACCGATATTGATTGACTGAAGAAGGGCTTCTAAGATTCTGCCGTTCCTGAAGAAAATGGATTTGAACATGGCAATGATAATAAGTCGAGACAAGGTCCTATTCGCGTAAAAAAAGCTAAGAAGCTTTCCGGAACGTTAGCCTCGCAAGTTGGATAATACGAGTATCTCACGGTCACGTACAGTGAAATTATTAGATGCTGATTGGTGTGTTACATCAGAAGCCCCGGCATTGCAGCTCGTAACTATGTAACAACCTGATGATCAAATTCAGTCTAATTTTCGGTCTTTCGTTTCATGAATCAAGTAAAATGCTTTTTTTTATTGCAGGACGCACACTAATTACAATCACTGGAAAAATCTTTTCTACGTAAAATCATTAAAGTATTAAATAAACTAGCGCAATGGGATGAAAAAAATCTTACCTAACAACTAAACTTCGTTTGTCATGATTAACCAATACTAAGTACATCTAATTACGTGCGGTAGGGTGATATGAAAATTGAGAACTTTCCACCTTAGATAGCGGTGCATATAACCGGGCACTACGTTCCATCAAATTCATCTAATTTCAAGTGAAACGCAAGCTTACGACACCAAACTTTCTACGCTGTTCACTACCGGGATGTACTCGTGACGTACCAGCGTGTCGCTCGTAATAGAGTTACATGAGCTTGTACCCCAGTGACCGGTCATAGACGTCATGTTCAGAGATCCAGGATGTGGAAGTTGAGTGGAATGCGCTCTATTACATGAAGCATCAGTATCACAATTTGGACCGAATTCGGTGATGAAGCATTCGGTGCTATAACTTCGATACGGTGACAGCAATAATGGATCGCGAGCAAGCATCGGTGTGGAAGCCAGCCTCGTTTTGGTCATGATTCGATGTGTTTTGTCAATCAGTGCGCCCGAAGACGGCCAGGCTCGAACTCGTCGGTTTTCGGAAGCTGAAGCGACGGACACCAAACAGAGTGGGATATTCAAGACACCGTAGAGATCTACGTCACCTCTGGAGACAGTATTTCGACCGAGAGAAAGCTGGAGATAGGGTATGTGAAATAAAATGATTAGGCGGAAGTTTATTTTTCATTTGTTCAGCGGATATAATAAAATGTTTGCTTCATAACTGAAATATGCTCTTCATGATCAATAAGCAGCATCAAAGTAAGAAGCCAAAAGTCACCGCTCTCTTTGGAGCTCGTGTATTCTAATCAAAATGCAAGAGCGAAACTTTTGTACTAATAGTTCTGATACATCTCTATCGCTGCTGTGGAACGGAAAACGATGTAGTTCGTCCAAGTGGCAAGTTGACGGGATCCCTCGATAGGGTGGTTTAGTCTCCATTCTGCTGATCTGAAAAGCAGAGCAGCTCATTTGATACCGTTAAATGACAAGGAATTAATTGCAAGCTCAGGCTTTTCCCTTGTCCCCAAAGGATACATCAAGAGTAGAATCGTTTCTCCGCAAAAAATGATTAAAAGTCGCATAGAGTTCCAGGTAGGAGATAACAAATAATGTAGTCTTCAAGCAATTTGCGTTTTTGTGTGTGTAGAAATTTGAAGCGGGTCAGGTTTTCATCGGGTTTCAGCATGAAAGAGCCAATGGTTAGTGCGCAAACGACGTGGGATGCAAGGTGGAATACTGCACACTCTGACTGCAACAGACCGACGCCGGCATTCTCGTCGACAGCAATGGTAACTTCAAACAACGTCTGTCCGGCTACAAAGTGAGCAGATACCGATATGGATGATTAAGGTTCTGAAGTATATGTTACGCCCCGATTACGGCGATACCGAACGCATAGTCTTATTGATCATAATCCATCCTTATAGGTAAGACAGTTCAACCCCTTAACCATCTTGGGGGGGGCAATACTTTGTAGACTCTCCAGCATCCGACAATCAAGCTGCAACCATGGATTTCCAGCTTGGAAGGCATTCTCTGTGTACAGTCAAACGTGAGAACTGTGCTTCAAATCGACCAAAGACTCGCCTAAGCATGCGGGTAATCGTCACAGCAGTATACGGAACCCTGACACAATTGATTGAACAGATTAAAGTTTTATCGAACACCGAATGACTAAGTTTAGTTCATTGCAAATTTGAAGGATAATGCGTCACAATATTTCCTTTACCGCTCACAGTATTATATTAATGTCATATTTCACATCCTTCTGAGACCGGACTGTGAGCCAAAAACTCATGGTACAATAATCTTTATAAAAAGAAAAACGTTCCACGATTTGCATGTGAGCCGAATACTGATATGTTGCAAGGGACAAGCCGGGTAAAATTTTAAGAAGAATCCACAACCGTAGCCATCGGCTAGTGGCGGGGAGGTGTGAAAACTGCATTTCATTGGAAGCCGGTGTAGAATTCATCGGAACCCGTCTTTCGGACGAAGAAAAACGTTCAAGGTGCCCAATGTCCAAACCGTAAACTTGTGTAGGTGTGGTTCGTACACCTCTAGGTTGTTTTGGAACCAGCGTTTTTCGTTAACTCCCCTAGGTAAGCTGTTCCTCGTTCGCACGGAGTTCAGCCACCCAAAGTGTCACATCGCCTCGTGGTGCACAGATTAGCTATAGATGGTGAGGGTGTATGAAAGACTGCCGTTCGTATTGGTCTATCTGCTTGGACTCCAACCACTCACTGGTTTGTGCAAAGTTGTCTATGCGATTTGGTGGCCGCAATAATATGCGATGCAAACAGCTTGATGTTGCCAAGCTTTCCGATCCGGTTGTGCTAGTCGATTACCAAAACCAGTTGCCCGTCACTAAATCAACACTGCAACCATTCAAAGTGAAATGCTTTTATATAGTTTATACAGTTGTGGCCTAACTTGTCGATTTGTGAAACATTGAGTTTCCTCCAACTTTCTCAGACTTTCTGGCACGCGTCGGGCAATACTGACAGACAGTGCGTATAATGAACACCGCCCCCCCTCTGATACATTTACTTATATAATGCTTGAGAGATGACTGAGAAGCGTGGTGGATACTACGAGCCCCAAAAGACAGTGCGTTAGTGAAACAATCTGCGAAGTGGATGGCTCTCTAATAATACATGGTCTCCAACGATACATAGAGCGCTTAGCAGAACACTCCGC